AGCATGGTCAAGACGGAGAATCTGTTCTTGCCAGCTGTGACCCTTGGCTGTGAATGGCGCATGGGAAACTAATCTAGGGGATAATTTCCGGACCGGTCGAGTGTAAATGGAACATCACCATGGATGATTATCGAAGGGATTATTATTCGTTGAATAATTTTCCCTTGACCGAACGCGCCCGTGATTGCATACGCATTCCTCAAACTGTGACAACAATGGAAAGCGACCGCACACCATACTCCAAGCTGCATGTCATATTGAGACGTGCAAACCCTGAAGTTATTGCTGAGATGTCAATGATACGACAGACATATTGGGCGGGAAGTGTTTTTAACAGATTGGGAGGGAGGGTACTTACGCGAACACGGTCAAATTATATTCTTTTGTCCTGCGATCACCGTACACACAGCACCTCATGTCCGGCATCTCCCACCGATGCAAGAGGACACTGCCTGGGAGTGGGGGGGGGGGGAGGAATGTCCCCTCGAGAAATGTCGCACAACCCGAAATTGCCCACACTTATGTTTGCGATACGTATTCAGCAGTACAATCTTAATAACAGCCAATCACCTTTCGCGCATTATAACACATGTGCAGCATCTTCGCCTTTGCGAATGAATCAGCCGCCGTACGGTTTTTATCATAAACAAAACACAAACAAACAAACAACCAATAATATCACGGGTATCTGTTGACGCTTCTCTGGCGTCGTTAATCAGAGGGCTATTTTGAAATAGGGGAACTATAAGGATTTTGACACTTTGCGGTCGTGTAACTTAGGAACCAAATCGTTTTGGGTCTTAAAAATGACATGACCGTAAACTGCATCACAAGGTCGTCGAGATGGCTATTTCAGTTCAAATTGCCATCCAAATGTGGAACATCCCCATGAACATTCAATGAGGGCAAGGAGAAAACGGCTTTTAGGACAGATTTCGGGTATTCGAATTTAACAGAATGGCCTTCGGCCTCGCCGGAAGTCCATCAGTCTTTCAAAATCTCATGAATGAAGTTTTAGAGGATGTCAGAAAATTTGCACTTGCATTTATAGATGACATCATCGTGTTCAGTGACTCCTTCGAAGAACATCCAAAGCACCTGGAGGAAGTGTTCGACAGGCTCCGAAAAGCAAACCTCAAACTCAAAATTACAAAATGTGAATTTTTTAGAAACTCCACTGTCTTGGCCACATTGTATCAAACGATGGCATCGCTGTAGACCCGGAAAAAATCAAAGTGGTAGAAAACATGCAAACCCACAAAACCATCCGTGATGTCCTAAGTTTCCTGGGCATGGCATCGTACTATCGAAAGTACGTACCCGGTTTCAGCGGAATTGCGAAACCATTTACAGCCCTGACAAAGAAACATGCAAAATTCCATTGGCCGGCCGAGGCACAAGTAGCTTTTGATACATTGAAACAATGTCTTGTGAAGGCCCCATTCTTGCGTTTCCAGATATCACCCAACCCTTTAAACTTTATACGGATTCTGCACAATATGCTATGGGTGCAGTTCTCACCCAAGAAATCAAAGGACAAAAGAAAGTTATTCAGTATGTTTCTCACCAGTTCACAGATGCTCAGCAAAAATTGCCCAGCATAGAGCGCGAAGTGTTCGCCATTATTTACAGTTTACAAAAACTTCGACCCATTGTTGTTGAAATCCCAACTTACGGCGTACACGGACCATAAACCTGTGAAACTTTTGTTTACCAGTGAAATGAAAACCCCACAATCCAAAGATGCGCCATCATTTTAGGAAAATACGCATGCAAAATTAAATATATATCTGGTCCCAAAAACGTAGCCGCAGACATGCTCTCGCGCCTTCACAACACCCAAATTACCGGCGATCTAGAGGACAACGAGCACCTGGATTGGAAGGGTG